CAGGAGTTTGAGGTTGCTGTGAGCTAGGCTGACGCCACGGCACTCTACCCCAGGCAACACAGTGAGACTCTGTCTCAAAAAAAATAAAAAAATTAAAGTCTATTTTTAAAAAAACAGACAGCATATAAAAAAAATTTATTAGTGGTAGAATATCAGAAATCCAGGCAAAACTGTACAGCAATGTCAGAACATAATCCGACTCCCTTGATATTACAATCTAAAGGAAAATCAGGCACGGGTAACAAGCAGCTCGCAGACACCCAGTGTTCAATACAAACATGACAAAAAGTCATTCCACACAGAAAGATGTAGGAACTCGAACCAGGAGGTCGCCCCCTTGCAGTGTCTTGCCAAAAGTTACGGAGCGGAAGTTAGCTAAGGCCTGAAAGTGGTTCTCAGCCCTGATTTTTTAATTTCAACGAGAAAATTTGAAAACGGCTCAACATTTCCGAGAGAAGGAAGAAGGTATCACCTTCCTGGAAGGAAAGGGACCTTAAGTGTTTGAGCCGGGCCCGAAGCAGAAAGGGACCTGTGTCCTTGAGGGCCTGCCATTAGGAAATGACACTTGACTTGCAAACTGGACGTGGCAGTTGTTAATGAAGACGACAAGGAACCATGATGTCATTCCTTTTCTACGCAGTCTGTCTTCCTGCCCGTAACCGCACTTTAATCACCACGGGCAATGCCTGAGATTCAAATTTTCACCCGAGATTCAAATTTTGCGTCGTGAAACGGACATGCAGCAGTCACGGAAAAAGTATCATCACTCGTAAAATTTGGAAAATGCAACATGAGATTTCTGTGTACTTGAGAGAAAGAGAGAGAGAATTAACACACACAAACCAAAAAGAAAAAATAAAAAAACACACAGCATCTGCTTTTCATCAGCAAACACGGTCAAAGCAAGGGGCAGCAGAGGCGTGTTAACTCAAGCATCCCAGCGTTCTCTCGAATTCCTGCATGCGGACGCCCGGGTCAACCAAAGCAAAGTGGAGAAACTTTTGAGAAATATGCATTGAACGATGTCTGTGAAATCCACGAGGGTTTAAGAACCTAAACTGCTTCAGAAATTCTAGCTGTTTTTAAGGGTGGTTTCAACGTTAAGGAATACTCCTCTGTAAATCTTCCACCTCTAGTTCCCACATGCTTTCATGGGTGGGATTATCGGAGAGATCGGTCATCTTCACAGCCTGAAGGCACGGCTCAGGGCTGCAGGCCAGAACCACTCCCATTACCATCACATACTTTCCTGGAAAAAGAAGAAAAGCCCGTAGTTATGTTCATCGTAAAGGGGTGGGGAGCAAACAGATCCAGTCCTTCAGAGAGTCTAACTTTATCAGAGAGAGGGAAGTCAGAGACATAAAAGCATTCAGATAGTAGATATCAAAATGCAAGGTAGCCAGTGATTGGGATGTACACGTGTATTAATTACAGCATTTAACCTGGAGGATGATATCTGTATCATCTTTGGTTTCTGGTTTTAATATGTTAAATGAGATCATCGTGCACAAAGTAACCATGCCCAAGAAATGGAAGAGACTATTGCATCAGAGTATGAGTTATAATTAGATTGCTCTAAGGCAGGGGCAGAAAACCCAAGCTTTTCTCTAATCCTGTTCCTTGCTCAATACTAGAGTATGTGACTGGTCTCTGTGCACAGGACGGGTCCTCTTTCTGCACAGACACAGCCCCCGACAGCCCCAAAGCAAATCCAGTTCTCCCTCGACGTTGCCAAAAAAGCTGGGCCGGCAGCATCCCCGAGGCCCCCACTGTGCCAGCTGCCCAGGACTCATCCCTGCCACCTCCAGCTTTATCCTGACACTGCCGGGCACACACAAGCAAATCCACAAAAGGGCAGGCTGCCACCGGGATGATCTAATGACATATTAACCATGATTCTCTTCCCATTCCCTTGGGGAAGTGACTCTCTCCTTGAAAGCAAAACTTGGCCAGTCTTAATCACACAAACTCGATTGTGTAAAAGAAAACTCCGAACACTGCAGGAAGGGCAGGCACGCTGCCAGCCCCCTCTGCCTGTGCCTGCGAGGCCGCTTTTATCGCACTGCACGTGGGGCCCAGGGCTTTGACTGAAGGAAGCCAGGCAAGCTGACCCCTGACCCTCGGGTGCTCAGCCCCTGGCAGGGTAGCTCAGTGTCTCTGAACTCAGTTCCAGATTCTACTTGGGCCCCAGTGACAAAGCCTAGTTCTAAAAAATGCACTTGCCATCCCTCTGTACGGCCCTAACGTGCTGGTGGAGAAGGAGCCCTCAGGTGACTGAGACCCGGGAAAGCAAGAGCCCAAGGACACGCCAACCAGGCAGGTTCCAGGGGGATCCGCTAGGAGGGCACACGCTAGACGGATGAGCTCGGGGGCATGAGATCACACAAACCGGTGAGGTCCCATTCATTCCGCCACCTTATCCCTTTCCCCGCAAAGCAGCTCCCACCACCTGCCCTTCTCCTCCCGACACACATCCCCTCCCTTAAGTTGCCCTGACCACTCCAATGGCTCCAGCTGGTCTTCTGCAGGCTTTGTTCTCCTCAAACCCATCCCCACCCCACTGCTGTGGCCGTCGTTCTCAAATCCAACTGCCTCCAGAACCTGCCAGATCACAGTGAGACTAGGTCACCTTTGATTCTCTGCTGCCCCTGCAGACTGGGAGCAACTCCAGGGCAGGGAGAGTTTCTGACTCAACTCTGCACCTGGGGTTTATGGAAACAACCTCTTGGATACTCCAGAGAAGGGGGCGGGGAACGGCACTGGTGCACAGGCGCAGTGAGTAGAGTTCAAGTCCACCTTCAAGCAGGCAGGTCCTTCCACAGGTGGCCCCTGAAGCTGGTCAGGACGGGACCCTCCTACCTTTCACCGCTGCCCTACATGCTGCCCCAGGCTCCCCCAAGGCACCGAGCCCTCTCACCTCCAAGCCTTTGCACATTCCGTTCCAGGGAGCTGCACAGACCCAGGGTGCCCGACTGTCCCGGCGTTAACACGGAAAGTCCCACATGCTAGGACCCTCTCAGTCCCAGGCAACCCAGGGGGGTTGGTCCCCACAGATAACTCCAACACAGCCTTCAGGGCTGCCTCTTCAAAGATGCCTTCCCTGACCCCTCGGCCTGGATCAGCTGTCCCTGCTCTGTGCCACAGCGCCCTGTGCTCATGCCTACAATATTATGTGTGTTTTAGTGGCCTGCCTACTTCCCTGGCTCCCTGTCTGGAGGCAGTGACTCAGTTTTGTCAAGCAAGACTTGGCATTAAACAGCAAGAAGAAATGACATGGCCCTGCTAGGGGGCATTCAGGCCAGTCGGTGTGTCAGACAGGTTCACTGATGCCCATTCGTTCAAACACTGAGGTACCTACTGGGTGCCAGGCTTATGCCAGGCCTGGGACCAGACATGGAGACTGCCCAAGCCTGCCTTCGAGGGGCTTTGGCTGGGGGCCAAGACACCAAGCAGCATGGGCTATGCACTAGGCCAAGGCTAAAGCCAAGGGTTGGCAAACTTTCTCTGCGAATGGCCAGACAGTAAATATTTTAGGCTTTTCGGTCCATAAGGTCTCTGTCACAACTACTCGACTCTGTAGATGTAGTAGAAGAGCAGCCCTGGACATTAGGTAAGTTACCAATGCGTTCCAATAAAACTTCACTTATGAACACTGACATTTGAATTTCATATAATTTTCATGTGTCATGATTTTTTTCAACCATTTAAAAATGTAAAAACCGTGTATAGTTTGCAAAGCACGTGAAAAGAGGCAGCCTGCAGTTTGCCGACCCTGTGCTAGACTAAGGCTGCAGCCGAGGGCAGACGCTGAGGGGTAAGGGGAGGAGGGGGCAGCAGCAAGTTACAGGGGATAACAAGAGTCAAATTTTCTGAACCCTTACTATGAGCTAAGCAGCTAAGCGCTGTGAATCCACCCAACAGGAGGAATTATTATCCCCTTTTTAAGAAGAGATCCTAAATCCAGAAAGGTTAAGAAACGTGCTCCAGGCAACTCAGCTGGGAAGGGGTGGAGCCAGGAACTCAACCTAAGTCTGAGTCCGAAGCAGCTCAGGACAGGCCTGGGACCTACCTGGTTAGAGTCCAAGACTCTGAGCAGGAAGGGCTCTTAAAAGGAAGTGAACTTGGCCTGATTTCACGGGAGAGGGAACCAAGCAGAGGAAAGGCCCACTGACCCTTCAGACCTCCTTGGCCCAGAAGCCTCCCTGGACCACCTCCTTACGGTTCCACGGGGATCAACGATCCTCTGGGAAATCTACTGCCAGTCTGTCCCCCAGCCAGGACGTATCTATCTGGGTCGGAGCTGCAGCCCAGTGCCACACATGGGGCCTGATGTCCAACGCATGCTCAGTTAACACCCCAGTGATGAGTGACATGAGATCTGGGGTGCCCAATGCCTGTCACTCAAAACAACTGGCTCCTAGAGCCCTACAGGCCAGGCACGGGGCCCGATGCTGAGGATACAGCTGTCAGAACCACACAGCTCCCGCCCTCCAGCAGCTCAGTCTGATCCAGTGTTTCTCAAAGCGTGGCTCCCAGGCCGGCCCCCAGACCAGCCGCCAGACCAGCCGCATCAGCATCACTGGAGAGCTGGTCAGAAATTCAGCCCCACCGACTCGGAAACCCTGAGGGTGGAGCCCAGCCACCTGAGCTTCAACAAGCCTTCCAGGTGAGTGTGATGCACACTCAAGTTTGAGCAGCAGTGGTCTAGGAGGGGCAAACATTAGTGAACTATTAACAGACAAAGACAGTTTCAGGAAGGAGAGGTACAGGAGGGCTTCCCTGAGAAAGGTACCTTTAAGTACAGACGTTAAGGACGAGCAGAAGTTTCCTAGGACAGTGTTTCCCAAAACTTGATGGGGAAAAGAAAATCACGTGTGGGGAGGGGTTTGTGACAAATATGGATGCCGGGGTCCCTCCCCTGGAGAGGCCCTCTATGAGGGCTGGGAGGGTCCCTGGAACCTGCATTTTTAAACGTGCTGCAGGTGATGCTTATCATCAGGAAGCCTGACCGAGGGAGGGACAGGAAGGAAGGGTAGTGAGGCGGGGGACGGGCGAGTGCACGGGCCCGAGGTGGCACAGCCCCGGCCCCGGGAGGTACGAAGTGTCAAAGCCGGGTTCGAATCTGGCCTCGGCAACTTCGCGGCAGAAAGGAGGAAAGCAGCGCCGGCGAGGCTCCGGTATTACCTGGGGTGAGGCAGGGCCGCCCGCGCGGCACCCGCTCCAGGCCGCGCACCGAGAAGACCCCGCTCGGGTCCCGCAGCAGCGCCTCGCCGCCGCCCGCCGCCACCACCGTGCCCTGCATCCACACGGCCGCCAGCTCCAGCGGCCCGCGGCCTGCCGCCGCCCGCGACAGCTGCCACGCGCCTGGGCCGCCTTCCGCGTCCCGCCGCAGCTGCTCCGCCAGCACCTTGAGCGGCGGCGACCGCGGCAACCGCACGGCAGGCGAGTCGGCGCCGGAAAACGAGTCCGCGGCCGCGGCAGCCGCCATGCTGCCCGCCGCCGCTTTCCGAACTTTGACAGGCAGCGAGGCCCGGCCCGGCGCACCAATCATGAGCGCGCTGGCAGAGCCGGCCAATCGTCGGCCCCAGGAGGCGGGACCGTCGGGGCGAGCGGCCGTCTCTAGCCACCAGGAGTGCGCATGCGTACCTAAAGGAAAATAAACACCACGAGTTAGAAATAAACGGATGAAATTATTAATTAAATGGGAATAAATAAGTTTGGGAAGTAAACGCATCTCAAAATTTGGCGTGCATTAAGATCACCTGGAAAAGGTGATTATTCATCTTTACCTCGCCTTACAGTACTTCGAGGTTAGTAAATAACTGAAATGAAATTAGGCGGCCCATGTTGATGGGGGTGATCAAGAATCGAGTCAGGAGAGGAGGCTGGGAAAGGAGATGGGCACAGCTAGTAAAATTGCCCTTTCTGTCATTATTATTTTTATTTATATTTTAATAACTATCAAATAATTTAAAAATTGATAAAATATTACTATTTTATTCACAAAAGAAATGCACATTTATTGTAGAAATTTTAGAAAAGGAAAATCCAGAACAAGAAAAATATTGCAAAGAGCACTCAGATATCCACTGTCAACTTTTGGGTGTATTAGCTTCCAGGTTTTAAAATATATATATGTATGTATTTGATATACAAATATTGTTCTGCATATTGTTTTCACTTCATAACATCTTTCCGTATCAATATCCACCTGCTGCCTCGTGAATGACTGCATAATATTCTATTTATCTCATCATGTATTTAACTGATATCCTATTGTTGGACATTAAGGCTATTTCCAATTTTTCATTTTATGAATATCACCACTGTGAACCTAAATCTTTGTGCACATCTTTCAGATAAAATTCCTAGAAACTGTTCTCTAAAAATTGGATGTCCCCAGTCAACAAAGTCCACAAATCCTAAATCAGGCAATCCTTAAAGTCAAGATTAGTTCTTACGAGAGACTTTGTACTCCCAGGGCCTCCCGTAGTACCAGGCATTCACAAGGTATTCAGCAAGAGCCTGATTTTGGCAGTAGCCTCTATGAGGTTTTAGCCTCTACACCTCAACCCTGAGCCGTAGAGCAACCAGGCTCCTGCGCTGAGAAGGGAGCAGGGACTTTAACCAAGAGAGAATCCAACCCCTCATGCTGGGGAAGTCTTCCCTGGCCTTCCCCAAGGCACCTGAAGGCCAGAGAAGTGATGGGGAAGGGAGTTGGGGTGAAGGCGGAGGCTCCCAGGCCTCTTGGCTGAGCCTGGGATTTCCCCACCTTACTCTTGGCCCCCAGATTTCCCCCACCACCTCCCGTCAAGCCCCACAAGTCTGAGCACATCGGCGCTGGGTTTAAACCTTTTGATCGCGTAACCCACACACCTAGAATGTGAGCATTCCAGGCAGAGGGAACAGCACATGGAGGGCCCAGAGAGGGAGAGAGAGCAGGAAGCATTTAGCAAACTGCCAATATTTCAGAATGGCTGGGCTGTAGAGTAGAAAGGGAGGAGTAGGGATATTCGAGGCTGGGCCTACGTAACCTCATTTCCTATCCGCATTTTACAGATGATGAAACTGAGGGTCAGACCAACGACAAGCCTGAGGCCACATGGCTAGTGAGTAGTAGAACCAGAACGCAAACCCAAGTCCACCTGACCCCAGACTTCCTGCTCCTTGAACCCCAGGCTCCATCTCACTGTTCACACTATCACCCACCTCCATGTCAGAGATGCCTCCAGACCTTTGCTTATGCTGTTCTCTGCCTGACGTGCTCCCCACAGTCTCTCTCAGTTGAAACCTGACTCAGGTGCCTGCCCACCACCAAGACCTCTCTTCAGGGAGTCATTCTTGAGTCCACAATTGGAATTAATCCCTCCCTTCCCGATCAGTTTGCCGATGCCCCTAATCCAGGGTTCCTCGACCTCAGCCCTGTTGACATTTTGGGCCGGATAATTCTTTGTTGTAGGGGGGCTGTCCTATGTGCGTTGCAGGACATTGAGCAGTATCCCTGCCCTCCACCCAGTGCATGCCAGTAGTACCCCCCTCAAGTTGTAACAACCAAAATTGTCTTCAGGCCGGGTGGAGGTGGCTCACGCCTGTAATCCCAGCACTCAGGGAGGCAGAGGAGGGAGGATCACTTGAGCTCAAAAAAAAAAGTGTCTTCAGACATTGTCATTCATCCCTGCAGGCTGAAATCACCCCCATTGAGAACCCCTGTTCTAAGCTACAATACTTGCAATACTTGCTGCACTCTTTTTTTTTTTTTTTTGAGAGAGTCTTGCTCTGTTGCCCTGGCTAGAGTGCAATGGCATCATCATAGCTCACTGCAACCTCAAATTCCTGGGCTCAAGCAATCATCTTGCCTCAGCCTCCTGAGTAGCTGGGACTACAGGCACGCCCCACCATGCCTGGCTAATTTTTCTATTTTTCAATAGAGATGGGGGCTTGCTCTTGCTCAAGCTGGTCTTGAACTCCTGGCCTCAAGTGATCTGCCCACCTCAGACTCCCAAAGTGCTAGGATTACAGGCGTGAGCCACCACGCCCAGCCTGTCTTTAACCATAAATACTTGGGTCTGTGTCTGTCTTACCAGTTAGGCCAGGGGGCTCAAACTAAGATGCCAACAGTGGCCAGGCAGGTAACCCTAGTGCAGCAGTGACAAGCTGGCCCTCGGATGTCCTGGCTAAAGGGGCCGATCACGCTTGGTCAGTGGTGGCCATGCAGGGATGTGGGCCCAGTGTTGCCAGATCTAGTTTTTCAAGACATTTTAATGTACAATTTTCCACATTTCAAAGTACGTTGGCAACAAATTCAATTCTAAAACAAACAAACGAATTACAAACAGACCACGTGCCCCTGAAAGTCATCTGTGGGCTGACTCTGGCCCTTGGGCAGGTAGTCTACAAACTGTCTCTAGAACGTGAGCTCTTCTTCTGGCACCAGGTGGCCTGTGTGTGAACTAGTGTGCAGCTCCTTGGAATCTCCTGCAAAATATCCAAGGGGCTATCATGTTTCATCAGCTCCAGGAGTTGCAAAATCGGGTGTCTTAAATTGCTGACGTGAGCAGACAAGTGGATCTGTTGACACAGGTTGAGTAAGCCTCCCCTCCTCGGAGGATTATCCCCCCACCCAATCCTCCACCCTCAGCCCAGGGCCTCAAGCAACCCTGTGCAGGCCTTCCTGAGCCCCAGCTTCCGCGTGAGATCAAAGACCCCTGGAAGGGGGTTTCCTGCCTCCTGCTCCAATGAGAACAAAGGTTGAGGCAAGAGGAATTATGAGCCCTGGCTTCACACTCATCCTGCCCAATCACCAGTTCCCAGGCAGAAAAGGCCAAAAATTCTTCCGGTTGCTAGGAACAAAGAACCCAACTGCCCTAAGAAAAGGGCTTTGTTCCAGAAGGGTATCCGTACGGTGACATCTTCGTAATGGCAATAGCTGTCATTAGCTAAGCCCTCACTATGTGCCAAGTGCCACGCCAGGCACTTCATGTGCAGAGACTCAGTTATTCCTCATGACAATCCCGAGAGGTAGGCACTTTCCTTAAGCCCATTTTAGAGATGAGGAAATTGAGGCTTGGACAGGTGATGTGGCCTGCCCAAGACCACACAGCTAGTAAGAGGCAGAGCCAGGGACCAATCCCCACCTGGAACAAAGGGTTCCTCTCAGGTGTCTTTCAATAATCAGGTTCCCCAGGTAAGGGGGGCAGTGGGTCTTAACCTAAAGTTTTAGCCACTATCCTGGATTGTCACCAGGGAAGAATGCCCTGGGGAATTTTTCAAAAATACAGGTTTTATGGGGAAAAAACAACAAAATTTGAACTTTAGTTAACGAAATGCCTGCCAAACTATGCATGGGGGCAGCGTATGGACGTCTGCAACTTACTTTGAAATGCAACACAAAATAAGGTAAATCGTTGCATGCATAGAGGGAAGGACAGGCGGATAGATTGGCCATAAGGCAGGAAAACTGTTCATCGTGGAATCTGCACGGTGGGCGTGCGGGTGTTCACTGTGCAGGTTTTTCAATACAATACCTAGTCTGAGGTATTTCAGTACAGCAGCCTGAAGGGACCAAGACACACATTCAAGGTGGC